ACAGGAGCCTGTGCGCGAGGGAGCCCCCCCAAACTGGAAGAAGAAGGAGAAGCTACCCCAAGTCTCCAAGTCCTGGCATAACTACATGTGCAACGTGAGGCTGCAGCTGAGAGAGCTCCCCTCCATCCCCCACCCCCACCAGCCCCGGGCCTCCTGCTTTATAACTGAAGAGGGGGAGGGTGGAACTGTGGGGGGACCCCAGTTGGGGGAGGGGGTCTCGAGATGGAGACAGAGGGCAGCCAGACCTCACCCCTCCCTGCTCCTCAGGAGGTGATCCAAGACTTCCAGGCCTCCGTGCTGCAGGTGTCTGACTCGCCTTACGATGAACAGTGAGTAGGGCTGAGCCCTGCAGAGTGGGAAAGGGGCCCCAGCGGATGATGAGCTAACGCTGTAATGTCAGCATTGAGGAAGGCTGAGGCAGGGGGATGGAGAGTCCCAGGTTAGCCCGGCCTGCATAGCAGGTGAGGGAGGGGCTCTGGGACTACAGCTCAGCTTACACCAAGCTCCGGGTTGCGTCCTCAGCTCCACATCTATGGGTCTTAGTGGTACAAACTTGAAGTCCAAGCTTGGGAGTCAGAGACAGAAGGATCAGGAGTTCAAGGCCAGCCTCTGCTACTTATTGAGTTGGAGGCATGCCTGGACTACATGAGACACCATTTCAAAAACCAAAGGTGGGGGGACAAAACTGGGGACCACGGGACGTCTAGAGCACCTACCTGGCAGTCGTTTGCCAGCATGCCAGACAGAGTCTTGCTCCTTTCCTGGGCAGGGTGGCCGCACAAATGCCCACTGTGCACTATGAAATGCCCAATGGCTACAACACAGACTATGGCGCCGAGAGACTTCGAATCCCTGAGGGCCTGTTTGATCCCTCCAATGTCAAGGTGTGGCTGGGTGCCGGGTACTGGTTAGGGTGGGATTGGCTGGAGTCTTAGATCCAGAAGTGAGGTGGGGGAGTCTGGGAAGGATGATAGGGATTTGGGGGGAAACGGAAGCAGGGTCCCCAATGCCCACCTCGTCTCTGTCCACAGGGGCTGTCCGGGAACACCATGCTAGGAGTGGGCCACGTGGTCACCACCAGCATCGGCATGTGTGACATTGACATTCGCCCGGTGAGGCCGGAACCTAAGGCTGGGCAAAGGGGCCTAGAGCTGATGTGGAGGAAGGGAAGGGCTGTGCTCTGCAGGCTTACCCTTCTCCCTGCTCCAGGGTCTCTATGGCAGTGTCATTGTCACTGGCGGGAACACTCTGCTTCAGGGATTCACAGACAGGCTTAACCGGGAGCTTTCTCAGAAGACCCCACCGGTGAGCGCCCACCCCACCCCACCCCAGTCGGAGCATCTGGATCCCAATCCTGGCTTAGTTCTTTGAACCCCAAATCCCTCTTGAGTCCTCTACATGGAAATGCTCAGAGCCCCTGCGCCTGTGGCTCCCTCCTGCTCACCAAGCCTTGTCCCTTCCCAGAATCGAGATGTCCATTTCCCCCAGCCCCTCTTTCTCCCCCAGAGCATGCGGCTAAAACTCATCGCCAGCAACAGCACCATGGAACGCAAGTTCAGCCCCTGGATTGGGGGCTCCATCTTGGCCTCACTGGTGAGAGCAAAGGGACATGCCCCTGAGTATTCGGAGAGGGTTGCCCATTTTCAGTCAACAACGTGGACCTAGTCACACCTGTAACCCCACACTAGGGAGGCCGAGGCAAGGGGGGTTTCAAGTTCTAAGGCTACCCTGGCCTATATAGCACGACCCCGTTGCCAGAGAACAAACTTAGCTGCGGCTCCTCAGTGCCTTCCGCCTCCTGTTTGAGACAGATACCCTCACTGTTCTGGAAGTCTCTGATTCAGCTAGGCTGGCTAGCCGGTAAGCTCAAATCCTGTTTTTACTGGAGACTGACCTCAGGTCCTCGTGCCTGTGAAGCCAACTCTTTACTGACTGAGACATAACCCCAGCCCTGAAAAAGAAAAAAAAGTGTTCCTGGAGCGAGTGCAATCAGTGAATGCTCCCTGAAGACTTCGGGGCATCCTCAGGGTACAAGTCGGGAGGCAGGGAGATTTTTGGTGAGGCAGCCACGGTCATCAGTGAGTAGAGGGGACGTCCTGGGATTTGGGCTGGGAGAGCCGTGCGATGATTACAGTGAGTCTTCCCATGGTGTGACCAAAGGGGCGATGCAGGGTGGGCTGCCTGGCCCGCGAGCCTCAGGGATGGGCCTGCCTCTGCCTCCGAGTGCTGGGGTAAAAACTGCGTGCCCTGGGCCCAGTTTTGTTTTTGTGTCCTGCCCCCCCTCCCCCAAGACAGGGTTTCTCTGTTGTTTTGGAGGCTGTCCTGGAACTCGCTCTGTAGACCAGGCTCACAGATCCGCCTGCTTCTGCCTCCCGAGTGCTGGGGTTAAAGCACGCCCAAGCTTTTTTTTTTTAATGTGGGTTTTGGGGATAGAATTTATGTTCTCAGCTACACAGAGTTCAAAGTCAGCCTGTTGAAAGAAAGGGGGAGGGGGAGGGAGCAGAAGAGGAAAGGGGAAGAAAAGAGAAAGGAAGGGGGGGTGGAAGGGAGGGGAGGGGAGCAGAGGGCAGAGGAGAGGAGGCAGGGGAGGGGAGGGGAGGAGGCAGGGGAGGGGAGGGGGAGGAGGCAGGGGAGGGGAGGGGAGGAGGCAGGGGAGGGGAGGGGAGGGGAGGGAAGGGCAGGGAAGAGGAGGCAGGGGAGGGAGGGGAGGGGAGGGGAGGGGAGGGGAGGGGAGAACTCACAGGAGAAGAGGTCCGGGCGATTCTGGAAGATGGTGAGTTCAGTTATGAGCATAGAGAGCTTAAGGTCAAGGGTATCCAGGAGGAAGTAGCCCAGAGATAGCCGGGTGTCTGAGTCTGGAACAAGAGCCTGGGGAGTGGCAGGGACGAATGAGCCCTCCCCCCAGGCTGCTCTATGAGGGGAGACACCAGCCTTCAGGTGGAAGCCTCGGAGCAGCCATCCGTGAGAACATACAGGGCTCCTGGAGAGCATCAGGGTGGGTGGCAGTGAGGTGGCCAGGTGGCCTGGGCATGATGATGAGCTGGCCGTGGTACAGAGACATAATCCCGGAACCCTGGAAGCCAGGCAGGAAGCTCACAGGCCGAGGTCAGCCCGGGTAACTCAGTAAAAGGCAAATGAATGCAAGGGCCGAGGAGACCACCCAGGAGGCAGAGCACTTGCTGCAGAAGCTGGAGGACCCGGGTTCGGGTCCCTGGAACCACAGGAAACTGAGTGGGAGAGCTTTTGTCCATCGTCTCGGAGCACTTACATCAAAATGGGAGAAGACAGGAAAGGCTCCTGAAGCTGCCGGGCCAGCTAGCCTCCAAACAGAGAGGCAAAGCAGAGACCCTGCCTCGGAGTGGAAAGGAGAGGATCGACCCACGGTTGCCCTGTCCTCATATGTGCATGTAGACCAATCATGACACATGCAAACATAGACACATATACATATGAACAAAAAAGTTTTAATCCCCCAGTGAGGGGCTGGGGTGTGGCTCAGTGGTAGAGCTCCTGCCTAGAATCCCCCAGTGAGGGGCTGGGGTGTGGCTCAGTGGTAGAGCACCTGCCTAGAATTACTCCAGTGAGGGGCTGGGGTGTGGCTCAGGGGTAGAGCTCCTAAAATCTCCCAGTGAGTAGGAGGGATACAGGCAGAAACGCAGTAGGTAAGGAGAAGAACGGGTGTGGTGGTGTAGAGGGTGTGGGGTGATGCCGGGGCTCTCCCACAGCTTATGTTACCCCTTTCTCCCAGGGCACGTTCCAGCAGATGTGGATCTCCAAGCAGGAATATGAGGAGGGAGGGAAGCAGTGCGTGGAGCGGAAGTGCCCCTGAGGTTGCCCACTCCTCCCTCCTCAAATGCCCACCACACCCCCTCCACTGCCTTGTGGGGAAATCCTACCAGCCAGGCCTCCGAAAGCGCGGAACCCTCCATCTCCCACTGTCCTCCCCTCTCTTACCCACGTCTTCTTAGACTGTGATGTTTCTGAGTTGAAATAAGCTTAAAAAAAAGTTTTAAGAAAATAAAGAATTTGAGCTCCTTGGGGATAGGGAGTGGGGCGCGGGGGTCTGGCGAGAGGCCAGAGAGCGGCGAGTCTACATTCACGCTGCGCTGGGGCACGAAATTCGTAGGTTTCAGTGGGGTCAGGACTCGCGGGGCGGGGCCACCCGGGGGCGTGTCTGGTGTGCTTGGCCTAGGTGCAGGCTTTGGGTCTCCCGGGGAGCGTGGTCCAAGAGACGCAGGGACCTGCTGCTACAGCGAGCTCGGCTGCTGTGCTTTCCCACTCGGCAGGGACTGGGGTACCGGTGAGCCCCTACCCTCAGCTCCTTCTGGGCCTGGTTAGGACCTGCAGTGTCCCAGGGGAGACCCGGATGGGGAGCGAGGGTGAGGGCGACCCTGAAGGAGGTTCAACTGCGGTCCTGACCCCTCATCAAATTCTTAAGACAGTCGTGGACCCCAAAAGAGAAATCCCTAGTTAAGTCGTTTAGTGACCCAAGAGGTGCTGTGCTGGGCGGGACCCCAGGCCGTCTACAGTGAAGTGGGCGCGGACACAGGGCTTCCTGACCCCGGCACCCACTCCTTTTGAGCCCTGTGCCCCATTTATAGCCGCCCCCCTCCAGCAACCAGTGTAGGCCAGATTCCAAGCTGGACAGACAAGTTTACAGTAGATTAAGCCACCAAGCCGCCCCGCTAGGATGCCGCCGCCAGTCTGGCCCCAAGGTCAGCTAAGGGTCTGTTGGAGGTCTGTGTGTTGGGGAACCTCGAAACCAGTCCAGGGCTCTTCACGATGAGGCTTCCAAGGGGGCTGAATCGGGAAACCGGAGGCACCCAGCCTAGCTCCCCTCCCCCCACCTGTGACCGGAACTTAGGTGGTCAAAGTCTGCCCTGAGGTTTGAAAAACAATTGATTGGTAGGAGAAGGCACAGGCCCTGTCATCTGGTGTGAGCGGGACTGGGGGTGGGGGTGTCTGGGAGGGTGGACCGAGGCCAGACTGTGCTCCCACCCTGTGGGGAGGCGGTGAGGAACGGCCTAGGCTCAGGCTGCCTGAGAGAGCTGATAAGGGGCCTCTGGGGCTCCCACAAACGGTTTGTTATTGGGGGGGACTCCTTGCAGGGCACAAGCATGGAGCTACTTTGGGGTCTACTGAAGAGAGGGGTAAGACCCTGGGGGGAGGTGGTTACACACGCTAGGTCTTGGTCTTCCTCGGGCCCCTCCCTAATGCATAGGGCGGCCCCACCCCATGCCCCTTGGGTCCCTCCTCTCCAGCCTCCCTCTTAGCTCCCTTCCTGCCCAAGTCCGTGACACCATCCTTGCCCAACCCTTCCCCAACTCCTCGGCCCCTTCCCCTAATCGCATGCCTGCCTTCCGACTCCACACAGCAGCAGTGGGCCCCGAGACCCTCGCAGACCATCTATAGGCGTGTGGAAGGCCCTGACCTGGGGCACTTGGAGGAGGAGGAGGAGGACTGGGAGGAAGGGGCCGAGCTGCCTGTCCAGTTCTGCCCCATGGAACTCAAGGGCCCTGAGCCCTCAGACTCCAGTCCAGGGAGGTCGGCTCCCATCCCCTGGGCTGCCGTGGGTAGAAAGGCTGCCCCCTATCTGATCCTGACCGCACTCCTGGTCTTCACTGGGGGTGAGTCATCCCTCCCCGTCCCTCCCTCCTCCTCAGTGGGGGGGTCTGGGCTGGGGCGTCTCTGGGGTCTACTAGAAGAAGGCACAAGAGAACTGAACCTTGCACCTGCCAGCCTTCCTCCTGGGCTACGTGGCCTTTCGAGGGTCCTGCCAGGCCTGCGGGGACTCCGTGTTGGTGGTCGGCGAGGATGTCAACTCTGAGCTGGGCCTTGACTCCGGCCTGGGCACCTTGTACTGGAGTGACCTCCAGGCCATGTTTCTTCGGTTCCTTGGGGAGGGGCGCCTGGAGGACACCATCAGGTAAGAATACCCTGACTTCCTGCCTGGCCCAGTGTCCAGTCCAGTTCAGACTGGAGGCCCCATCAGGTCTCATGTTGCCCAAGTCCCCTCGTGGGTCTTTCCACCTCCCCTCTGGCTTCCCTGCTCAGCGGTCTGGAAGGGTGGCAGACACCAGGAGCTGAGTATTCAAACACCTGCGACCTTGAAGATGGCTTGTTTAGGAGGCAGGCAGCTGAGCGACAGAAAACAGAGGACCAGGGCCTGGAGGCATATGCCTATGGTCCCAGCAGTCAGGAGGTAGATGCAGGAGGATTGGGAATTCAGAGACATCCTTGGCTACATAGTGAATACGAGACCAGCCAATTGAGATGGGATAGCCTCCCATCCCCCCAAAAAATAATAATTTGTAAAGGTAAATGACATTTGAGGGTTTTTTTGTTTTGTTTTGTTTTTTGAGACAGGGTTTCTCTGTGGCTTTGGAGGCTGGTCTGGAACTAGTTCTTGTAGACCAGGCTGGTCTCGAACTCACAAGATCCGCCTGCCTCTGCCTCCCAGGTGCTGGGATAAAAGGCGTGCACCACCACCGCCTGGCCTGACATTTTAATTTTATTTTGTGTAATGATCAGGTAATGAAAAATGGTATGAATTTTTTTAGAATATTTTTTCAGTATGTTCTGAGACAACCACATGTTTTGGTTTGTCTTCCCCTTTGGGTTTCTCTCTTTTTAAAAGATTTTTTTCATTGATTTTTTGATATGTGTTGGTGTTTTGCCTGCAAGTCTGTGTGAGGGTGCCAGATCCCCTGGAACTGGAGTTACAGGCAGTTGTGAGCTGCCATGTGGGTGCTGGGCACTGAACCCGGGTCCTCTGGAAGAGCAGCCAGTGCTCTTAACCGCTGAGCCGTCTCTCCAGCCCCCCTTCTCTCTTTTTTTCTTTCTTTTTTAAACAGTTACTTATTGACTTATCGGGTGTGGTGCTTGGGTGCCGCTGTGCGTGTGTGACAGGCAGAGAAGAACTTGTTGTAGTCAACTCTCGCCTTCTGCCACGCAGAGCCCAGGGATTGAACCCAGGCCCTCAGGCTTGACGGCAAGCACCGAGCGCCTCACACCTCGTCAGATCTCCTGTTTACAGTTCTCGGGTTGGCAGAAGGAGGGCCCTGCATGCTCTTAGACCGGCACTCCGCCTTTGAGCCGCATCTGTAGGGCTTTTTCTACTTTGTTTGATTTCACTTCTTTTGCTTTTAGCTTTTCTTCAGACAAGGTCTTGTGATGTAGCCCAGGCTAGCCTCATTCTCTCCCAATGTCAGTGCTAGGATTATAGGCGTGCCCCTGCGTTTTCCTCCTCCTCCTCTGCACTGAGGATCCAAGCTATGCTAGTACTGTCTTCAGCGTTTGTTCAGCCATTTGGACGCATGTGTTTCCTTTCCAGGCTACGTCATGGTGTGTCTTTTGACACCCAGCATGGAGCTTGATCAAAATAGATGGCTCTATCACGCTAAAGGCCCTCCGATTGATCAGGCTGGGGCTTATAGCTCCTGTGACAGAGCACTCACCTAGCATGACCCATCCCCTAAATGACATGAACATAAGCGTGGTGGTTCACACCTGTGATCCCAGTACCTGGGAGATGGGAGCATGAGGGTCAGGAGTTCAAGGCTGTCCTTGACTACATAGTGCCTTCCAGGACAAACGAGACCTTGACCTCCCCCCAGCCCACCCCCCAAAACCTTATGAAAGCCAGGAAATGAGTAGAGCTACCTACTGCCAAGTTTTCCTAAATTCACACTCTCTATAAAGTAGTAAGGAGTTAAAAAGGCAATGCATCGAAGGCTCTGAAACTATGAGGCAACGTAAAAGTTTCCCCACAAGGCAGACAGACAGACAGACAGGCAGGCAGGCAGGCAGACAGACAGACAGGCAGACAGGCAGACAGACAGGCAGACAGACAGGCAGACAGGCAGACAGACAGACAGGCAGACAGACAGACAGGCAGGCAGACAGACAGACAGGCAGACAGACAGGCAGACAGGCAGGCAGACAGACAGACAGATAGACAGGCAGACAGGCAGACAGACAGGCAGGCAGGCAGACAGACAGACAGGCAGACAGACAGGCAGACAGACAGGCAGGCAGACAGACAGACAGACAGACAGACAGACAGACAGGCAGGCAGGCAGGCAGGCAGGCAGACAGACAGACAGGCAGGCAGGCAGATACAGTGAGGATGGAGGGAGGAAACCAGATCCTCAAAAGGTGTAATCAAAAAGTGAGGCCCAGGGCTGGCAAGATGATAGCTCAGCCGGTGAAGGCGATTGCTGCCAGAGTTCAATCCCCACGACCCCAGGAGTGGGAGGAGGGAACCAGGTTCTAACTCATCCTAAAGCTAAAGCAGAAGTTCTGTGCCCACCTGGGTTTCAAGTGAGTCTGTGGCTAGCCTTGGCAATTCGGCGTAGCCTTGTCTAAAAACAGAACAGAAAAAACAATGTAAAGGTGGTTTTGGGGTAACTGCCCTAGCTCAGTGATAAAGTGATTTCCTAGAACACCCTACAAGGAAGGGAAGGGGGGAGGGGGCACGGTTAGAGAGCCAGGAGCACCTCCACCCTTGGGATGGAGGAAGGAGACCCAAGAGTCCCTTTTGGGAGATGTGGCCGCTCCAGGAATGGCCAGGTCTCTGCCAAGGCCACATTTGGGTGATATGGGGAAGGTAGCTTGAGTCCCCTGCAAAGGTAACAGGTTTGGTAACAGACCATGAGAGGGCAGCACATGCCGAGGGGAGAAGGCAGAATAAGACCAGTTTAGGTAACAGTTTCTTGCTGGGTGATGACAATGGAAGCAGACGGGGTGAGGTCCTCTCCCGAAGCCCGATCCTCCGGCCGCCACCTCCCAAGCGCGTTCTACCTGAGTTTGAGGCTAGCCTGGGATATATAAGATGCCACTCCAGGCCTGCGTTTTCCCCACTTCTGCAGGGGACATGGGAGTCCCTTTCCTGCACCCCTCCCACCCCTCACCCGCAGTGTGATCTCTCTCTCTCTGCCCAGGCTGACCAGCCTCCGGGAACGCGTGGCGGGCTCGGTCAGGATGGCCACTCTGGTCCAAGACATCCTGGATACTTTCTCGCGCCAGAAGCTGGACCACGTGTGGACTGACACGCACTATGTGGGGCTTCAGTTCCCAGACCCGTGAGTCTGGGGACGCGACAAGGGGCAGTTCCCAGACCCGTGAGTCTGGGGACGCGACAAGGGGGACGGGTCATGGTGTTGCACAGCCAGAGGTGCTCACCCTCCCCGTCCTCAGGGCTCACCCTAACTCCCTGCACTGGGTGGATGCAGCCGGGAGCGCCCAGGAGCAGCTGCCGCTGGAGGATCCGGAGGTCTACTGTCCTTACAGCGCCACCGGCAACGCCACGGTGAGCGCCTCTGGCCGGCTCGCCCTGGGAAACCTATGCGGTCCTCGGTGGGTAACCGCGATGGGATAAGGGCGCTGTGCCTCTGAGATCCCTGTGTCTCCAGGGCAAGCTGGTGTACGCCCACTACGGGCGGCAGGAGGATCTGCAGGACCTGAGAGCCCAGGGCGTGGAGCTGGCCGGCAGCCTCCTGCTGGTGCGCGTTGGGATTACCAGCTTCGCCCAGAAGGTGAGGGTCCCCAGGAGGACAGCGAGTGGTCAGGGGATCAGGCTTGTCTTCATGGAAAGATCTGGAACAGGCTTGTCTTCATGGGAAAGATCTGGGAGGCTGTCACCTGGAGACGAGAAAAATCAGGCACATTAAAAAAAAATGTTGGGCCGGGCGTTGCTGGCACACGCACTCGGGAGGCAGAGGCAGGCGGATCACTGTGAGTTCGAGACCAGCCTGGTCTACCAAGTGAGTTCCAGGCCAGCCTCCAAAGCCACAGGGAAACCCTGTCTGGAAAAAACAAAAAACAACCAAAAAAAAAAATGTTGGCAGAGGACGGGCAGGAATGTAGCCTGTAACCCCAGCTACATAGGAAGCTGAGACAGGAGGATTGTAAATTCACGACCTGCATGGGCTACATAGTGAGACCTTGTCTCATTTTTTTTCTCCTGAAACAGGGTTTCTCTGTGTAGCCTTGACTGGTCCTGGAGCGCAGGCTGTCCTCAAACTCAGAGATCCTCCTGCCTTTGCCTCCCGAGTGCCCCGTTTAAATGTGCCTTCTGCTGCCACCTCCTGGCAAGTCCCGTTTTTAAAATTAAATAATAAGATGCAGCTGGCATCTGGATGTGGTGGCACAGGCCTGTCATCTCAGTGCTTGGTGAGGTGGGGGGAAGGCAGGAGGATTAGGGTTCAGCATTTTCAGCCACATAAAGAATTTGAAACCAACCTGGAGTACACGAGATTGTCTTAGAAACCAAAGCAGAGTGACAAGGGAAAAAGCTCAGTGGATAAAAGCACTTACCACCACCCCTGAGTCCAATCTCTGGGGCCTTGAGGGGGGAAGAGAATCTGCTCTTGCAAGTTGTCCCCTGAAACACAAAGCAATAAATACACGTGATTTCCTTTCCGAATAAGCCAGCATATGGCTTGCGGTGTGTCGCAGTTGGTGGAGAGCTTGCCTAGCGTGCACAAAGGCCTGCATTTGATTCCCCAGCGGCGCATATACCTGGTGCAATCCCAGCCTGAGGATGAGGAAGCAGGATTAGAAACTGGGCTAGAGACTCTACTTCAAAATGAAATAAAAGAAACTAAAAATCTGGTTGCGGGTGGTGAGATGTCCCCGAGGTAAAGGTGTTTGCTGTCTAGCCTGATGGCCTATGTTAGACTCCCAGGACACACATGGCAGGAGAGCCGTGACCCCCAGTTGTCCTCTGATGCACACATGTGTGCCGTGTATGCAAGGCCCCAGGTTCAATCCCAGGAGTGAAAGGCAAATAAATGTTAGCGATGAGCAAAATCAGGAGGTTTTGCCAAATCAGACAGAGAAGAGAAAGGGGGCCTGTGTGGCACAGGGGTTTTGTTCATTTTTTTTTTCTTTTTTGGTTTTTATGAGTCAGGGTTTCTCTGTATTGTTTTTGAGGCTGTCGGTCCAGCCCGGCCTCGAACTCACAGAGACCCGCCTGCCTCTGCCTCCCGAGTGCTGGGACTAAAGGCGTGCGCCACCACTGCCCCCTCCCCAGTTTGCACGGAGGTTTTTAGAATTTTTATGTTAGTATGTGTACTGGCGTCTTTTGCCTACATGTATGTCTGGGCACCACTTATGTCCCTAGTGCTCGTGGAGGCCAGATGGGATGTCAGGTCCTCTGGAACTGGAGTTGCAGACAATTGTGAGCTTCCATGCGGGTACTGGGAATCAAACCCAGGTCCTCTGGAAGAGCAGCCGGTGCTCTTAACTGCTGAGTCATCTCTCCAGCCCTGAGCACACAGGTTTTTAAATGCCACAAGAGGCACTGAGGGAGGGCTACAGCGTGAGTGCCAAGCGATACCCACCCACGGTCCCTGCAGATGACAGGAGCAGTTTTACCTTTCCTTGGGTTCTTATCCTCCGTCAGGTAGCCATCGCTCAGGACTTTGGGGCCCAAGGAGTGCTGGTGTACCCTGACCCAGCAGACTTCTCCCAGGACCCTCACAAGCCAGGCCTGTCCAGCCACCAGGCTGTGTATGGACATGTGAGTGTTGGGGAAAGGCAGAGCTACCTTCCTGGGGCCCAGGGGTACACAGATAGGGTTTGTTCAGTTCAGTTTCAGACTGGGTACCCCTTCCTCCTTAGGTACACCTAGGAACTGGAGACCCTTACACGCCTGGCTTCCCTTCCTTCAATCAAACCCAGTTCCCTCCAGTAGAATCGTCAGGCCTTCCCAGAATCCCCGCCCAGCCCATCAGTGCAGACATTGCTGACCACTTGCTCAGGTAAGAAATGAAGTGTTTGGGGGGCGGGTTGCTGAAGGCTTCCTTGGGTGAGTAAGAAGGTGACCCTGGGACTCGGGAGAGAGTTCTGTCAGTAAAGTGTTTGCCACGCAAGTGTGAGGACCTGATTTAATTCCCAGAACCCGTGTTAAAAGCAAGCAAAACCTAAGTGTGTGCCTGCAGTCCACACTGGAGGGCCAGACAGGTGGATCCCTGAGCTCACTGGCACCAGCTTGGGGAAATTAGTGAGTTTCATGCCAAGTGCTGATCCTTTTAAAAACAAAGGTCCTAGACAGATGCCTCAGTGGGTAAAGGCACTTAGAGCAAGCCTGAAGAGCACCTCCAAGACTCACGTACTCAGAGAGGACCAACACCCACAAGTTGTCCTCACACGTACCCTACGGCACACATGCTGCACACCGCACACAAACCGGAAAGTGTATTACAACTGACAAACCAAGACAAAAAAGTGGTCAGTCCTTAAGGGCAAGATGTGAGGTTGACCTCTCTGCACACACGTGGGCGCACACACATTTCTACACACATGTGCACGGGCACACACACACACGAAAGAGGTGACCCTCCAGGTGGGCACACCTTTTATCAGGCCCCACCATCTGGTCCACCCACAAGTGCTGAAGATCCTTGCCCGGGACACAGCCTCCACCACTGTCCATGGCAGCCCCAGGCTGCACTGTCCTATTGGGCAAGGTACAGGGACAAAACTCTAGAGCCAGACTGGGAAAAAGAGAGGGTGGGATGCAGCTCTAGCCTCTTCTGCAGCTTAGGCCACTTCAAGACTTTTCTGTTCCGTTCCTGGAATGTTCCGTCCCCTTCCAGGAAACTCAAAGGCCCTGTGGCCCCCCAGGAATGGAAAGGAAACCTCTCAAGCTCTCCTTATCGCCTGGGGCCGGGGCCAGACCTGCGCCTTGTGGTCAACAACCACAGAGTTTCTACTCCCATTAGCAACATCTTCGCCTGCATCGAGGGCTTTGCAGAGCCAGGTGGGTTGTCTGGCCAGCATCTCCTGCCCCTTAGGAGGCAACCAGCGAGGACTGCTGCGGGGGCCCTGGAGAAAGACCAGCAGTGACCCCCAGGGATGGAGGCCTGGAGAAAGGCCAGCAGTGACCCCCAGGGAGTGGAGGCCTGGAGAAAGGCCAGCAGTGACCCCCAGGGAGTGGAGGCCTGGAGAAAGGCCAGCAGTGACCCCCAGGAAGTGGAGGCCTGGAGAAAGGCCAGCAGTGACCCCCCAGGGGATGGAGGCTGATAAGGGATTGACGAGGGGTGGTATTGCTCAGTAGTAAGGTCCCCACACACTGGGGCGAGCAATCGTATGTTGGATGACGTGTCCTAGATATCCAAGCGTTCAATAAGGGCCAGATTGGACAGATGAGTCTGGAAGTGGGAGTCGGGATGCTGAGCAGACTTGGCAGGGTGGGACAGACCTGGAATGCTGGGATGTCAAGGGAGAAGCAGAGGCCTGGGGTGACACTCGGATGTTGGAGGAGGGAGGAGGGGCACAGAAGAGCTGGAAGGGGAAAGCGGGTTAGGGAAGGGGCTGAGCCTGCCTGACCAGGGAGAGAGTGGAGTCCAGAATGTTCTTAGGGTTTGGTCAGGCATGGCAGCTCACACCTGTCACCCCAGGACTCAAGACTGAGGCTGGAGGTTAATGAGTTTAAGGCCAGCCTAAGCTACATAGCTTGGGCCTCCCGAGAGCCCATATTTTTTTTGTTGTTGTTGTTGTTTTGAGACAGGGTTTCTCTCTGTAGTTTTGGAGGCTGTCCTGGCACTCGCTCTGTAGACCAGGCTGGCCTCGAACTCACAGAGATCCGCCTGCCTCTGCCTCCCGAGTGCTGGGATTAAAGGCATGCGCCACCAACGCCCAGCCCCGAAAGCCCATATTAAGCAGAGAAAGGAGCCAAGAGAGGTGGCACACACCTAGAGACAGGAAGTCAGAAGTTCAAGACCAGTGTAGAATACAAAACAAAAAAACCAAACCAAAACAAAAAACTTTGTACAACCTGATACAGCAGTGCATGCTCATAATCCTGGCACTTGGGAGAAAGTGGGGGCAGGATAATCAGGAGTTTGAGACCAGCCTGGATTATGTGAGATCCTGTCTCCAGGAACAAGTAGCCAGGGATACTGTGTCTGAATCTCCAAATGTCTATTATTGATCAGTCCCTCTGGGCCAAGCAAATGGGCCTGGTCTCCTGACACAGCAGGGATTAGAGAGCTATGGTTATGGGAATGGGAGGGGCCGCAGCGTGGGGTGACTGCACGGGAGGGTGGAGAGGAGAGAGAGGGCTCTGGGAGCACTCACCCTCCAGAGCCACATGGGGAGACCTCCACACACACCTTCCTCAGATCACTATGTTGTTATCGGGGCCCAGAGGGACGCATGGGGCCCAGGAGCAGCCAGGTCTGCAGTGGGGACTGCCATCTTGCTGGAGCTGGTGCGGACCTTTTCCTCCATGGTCAGCAATGGTAAGGTCAGCGCCAAGACCTGGGGGAGCTGGGGCTGTGTCCTGAGCTAGGTCAAAGGTAGTTGGCAGCATATGCTGGAGAGAGGTCACTTGGATCAGAGTCCCCATGCCTGGTTCTGGGCAAGTAACTTCACTAATGCACTATTTCCTCATCAGTGTAAGCCTGGGGGACTAATAGGATGCCTTAGTGAGTAAGGACACTTGCTACCAAGTCCAATGACCTGAGTTTGACCCCAGAAGCCACATGGTAGAAAGAGAGATTCGGCTTCCTGAAGTGGTCCCCGATCTCCACACATATGCCATTGCATGCACACACACACACACACACACAATTTTTTTCAAATTTTTAAATGAGTTGGACAGACATACCTATAATTCAGGCCCTTGGGAGACTGAGGCGGGAATGAAGGCGTGGAAATTAGGATTCACCAGACCAGTATAATTGAAGAAGAGTTTATTAGTAAATAACTTACACGGAAATAAGTAGTTGTAGTGGAGTCCCTTTCCGAGGAGACAGACCCTGCTCCCCGAGACCCAAAGGGGCTTCCGGCCCCAATCCTTTTCCTTTTAACTGGTCATGTCCGCACCGGTGACCACGCCCAAAAGGCGTGGTCAGCGCTACAGGTGTGGAGGCAAATATCTCACTCACTACAAGGGAAGGTCTAGATTTCAAGGTCATTCTCAAATACATACTGGGTTCTAGGCCAGCCTGGGCTACATGAGTCTCTTATCTCGTAAAACACAAAAGCCAGGCATGATAGCATGTGCCTTTACTCCCGGTGCTGTGCCGGAAGATCACTGTGCGCCTGAGGCCAGTCGGGTCTAAATAGCAAGACCCTGTTTTAAAACAAAACCATTAAAAAAAAAAAACAAAAAGTAAAAAAAAGAGATGGGGTTGTAACTTAGTTGCAGAGAACTTGCTTAGCCTTCAAGAGGCCTCTGGTTTAATCCCTAGGACTGAAAAGGAGGGGAAAGGGAGAAGGGGGGGAGGAGCCAGGCTATGGAGGGGACTAATTAGAACAAAGCGTAATGGCACACGTGTGAGGATGCCGCAGTAAAATCCACACGTGTCGACCTCAGGCCAGACAGGGCCCCCACCTGTTATCCCAGCACCTGGAATTGGAAGCAGGTCACCTTAGGCTAGCCTGGGCTACACGTGACCCCGCCTTGAAACAGCAAATAAGGGCAGCGAGGTGGCAACAGTGGGCACTTGTTGCCAAGCCTGAGAACCTGAGCTGGAGTCCCGGGATCCACGCGGTGGCAGGGAGCACAGACTCCTGCAAGTTGCCCTCCGCTCCCCCCACACACAGATAAATAACTAAATGGCGTCTTCAGAGCCGCTCACAGGCGTTATTATCAGTCGGGTGAGATGGCCAGGATGCTGGGCTCATGAAGAGGGCGGAGACCCTTTTGGGGGACAGGAATGGAGCAGGATGGAGGGGGTGCTGACCCGGTTTCACCCCTTGGCATGTAGGGTTCAGACCTCGGAGAAGTCTCCTGTTCATCAGCTGGGACGGAGGTGACTTTGGCAGCGTGGGATCCATGGAGTGGTTGGAGGTGATTTGGGGTTCTGGGCAAGTAACCCGGGGGTGGGGAGAGGCGTGGGGGGCAGTTACTCCTTCCCACCTTCCCCCGACCCACAGGGCTACCTCAGTGTGCTGCACCTCAAGGCGGTGGTGTACGTGAGCCTGGACAACGCAGTGTTGGGTGAGCTGCGCAGTGCTACTCCCGGCCCTTCCGACGCCCTCCCGTGCCACGGAACTGCCCCGAGCCCCCTCGTCCCTCCCGTGCCGCCACCGAACTGCCCCGAGCCCCCTCGTCCCTCCCGTGCCACGGAACTGCCCCGAGCCCCCTCGTCCCTCCCGTGCCGCCACAGAACTGCCCCGAGCCCCCTCGTCCCTCCCGTGCCGCCACAGAACTGCCCCGAGCCCCCTCGTCCCTCCCGTGCCACCGAACTGCCCCGAGCCCCGTCGTCCCTCCCGTGCCACCGAACTGCCCCGAGCCCCCTCGTCCCTCCCGTGCCACCGAACTGCCCCGAGCCCCGTCGTCCCTCCCGTGCCGCCACCGAACTGCCCCGAGCCCCGTCGTCCCTCCCGTGCCACGGAACTGCCCCGAGCCCCGTCGTCCCTCCCGTGCCTTCTCTCCAGGAGACGGCACATTTCACGCCAAGACCAGCCCCCTCCTGATCAGCCTCATTGAGAACGTCCTGAAGCAGGCGAGCCGGGGTGGGGACGGGGTGACAGACCACAAGGCCGCGGGGGAGCAGCCCGGCTTACGCCCCCGTCCCGCCGCAGGTGGACTCCCCTAACCACAGCGGGCAGACGCTCTATGAACACGTGGCGTCCACCAATGCCAACTGGGACGCGGAAGTGTGAGTTGAAGACCTGGGGTGGCGGCTGGGGCTGGGGGCGGCTGGGGCTGGGGGCGGGACACGGAGTCCTCAGGCCTGCGATCTGCCCGCCCCAGGGTTCGAGCCCTGCCCATGGACAGCAGCGCGTATTCCTTCACGGCCTTTGCGGGGGTCCCAGCCGTGGAGTTCTCCTTCACGGAGGTGAGGCTCGCCCGCCCCGCCCCAGGGCGCCCCGGCCTGCCCGCGCCGCGTGCGGTCCTGCGCCCAGCGCTGCCTCCCGTGTCCCGGCAGGGCGGTCGGGCGTACCCGTTCCTGCACACCAGGGAGGACACCTACGAGAACCTGCACAGGATGCTGCGAGGCCGCCTGCCCGCCGTGGCCCAGGCGGTGGCTCAGCTCGCCGGCCAGCTCCTCCTGCGGCTGAGCCGCGACCACCTGCTGCCCCTGGACTTCGGCCGCTACGGGGACGTGGTGCTCAGGCACATCGGCAGCTTCCACGAGTTCTCTGGGGACCTCAAGGTCCAAGGCGCCGCTCCCGCCCCAGCCCCCGCCCGCCCTGCAGCCCGGGCCCGCCCCCCCCAGCCTCCAGGCCCCGGTCGCCCCCTGCGCGCCCTCCCCCTCCCTGCGCGCCCTCCCCCTCCCTGCGCGCCCGTCTCAGGCTGTGCCTCGCCCACAGGCCCGCGGGCTGACCCTGCAGTGGGTGTACTCCGCGCGGGGGGACTACATCCGGGCGGCGGAGAAGCTGCGGAAGGAGATTTACAGCTCCGAGCAGAGCGACGAGCGTCTGATGCGCATGTACAACGTGCGCATCATGAGGGTGAGGCCCGCCCCCCTCCCGGCCAGGGGTTCGAATCCCTGGACCGGACATTCTAAAACACCCCGCCCCCGCCCCACCTCCCCATGCCGTCCCTGTCTTCTGGGGACATACGGGGTTCATAACCCAGCCAGGCTGGAGGACTCGACCTGTCCCCTCCGCTGGCTCTGCCAGGCAATAAAACGGACAGGAAGGGCCTGCCCCTTCGTCGCCTACTGTTTAACCTGCAAAGCCTCAAGTATTTTACTCCATGGCTTTTTGCAGACACAAAGTTTGCTTTAGACTGTCTGGTTTGGGTCTTGAAGGACAGGCAAAACGTGGGTTGATGAAGCTGATGCGAAAAGAGGACATTTCAGGGTGGGAGGGTGAACGCGGGGAGATGGACCTGACCTTTCTTGGGAGCTGTGCATGGATGATCAAAGCCAGAAAAGAGACACCGTGGAGCACTGAGCACGGACCAGCTATGGGGAACCTTCGCATAGCTGAAGAAATCTGGGTTCTTGTGTGTTTGTGTGTGGTGAGGATCAAATCAGGGTACCGTGCTTGTTAGACAAATCGCTTACCACTGAGCCACACCCCAGCCCCTCATTGGGGGATTCTAGGCAGGTGCTCTACCACTGAGCCACACCCCAGCCCCTCACTGAGAGATTCTAGGCAAGTGCGCTATCACTGAGCCGCAGCTCCAATCCGCTTTTCTTGCAAGATTGCCCAGAATAATCTTGAACTCACTTTGTAGCCAACTGTGAACTTTTGACTCTCCACCTGCTTCATTCCTCCAAGTAACCAGGATTACGGGCATGCACCTCCAGGCAAGGCTCAGGAGTTTGGATTTTGAGTATATAGTCATCACGAAAATTTCTTACAAGGAGGTGAGGTTGCCAAGCGGGAGTGCCAATGGCCGGAGGAGAAAATGGACTTAATGAAGGTTGAACCCTGGATACCAGCCACAGGTATCCTGTAGGGGACGCCTGCACCGATGGGCGTGGCTTAGCAGGAAAAACTCAGAGGATTCGATAATGAAAACAGCATCTGGCGTTTGTGGAGAGCTGAAGAGGCCAGCAACGTTGTTTCATTTTGTTCAGCAGCAGAGCTTCCTGCCAAGCTGTGAGGTTGGCAGTAGGGTAGGCTGATGCTAAGGCTCAGAGAAGCTAAGTAACTTACTTCTTACAGGAAGTAAATGATGGAGCCAAAGTTACCCATGAGGGACTCTGGCCCTACAGCCTGTGCTCGATGCCATGAAAGAGAGGGGAGGGAAAGGAAGGAGAGAAGGAAAAGGAAAGAAAAGAGAAGAAATGATTCAAGCTAGCGCTGTAGCTCCGTTGATGGGGGGGGTGCTTTCTGGTACGCATGAAGCCCTGGGCTCCGTCCCCAGGACAAATAAGTAGGTGTGGAGGTGCCTGTACTCCCATCTCTTGGAAGACAGAGACAACCAGACTGGGCTACATGATGAGACCCTGACTCCCCGCGAAAAAAGAAGAGAAAGAAAGAAATGTGGGTACCAGGGAAGAGCCAAGTGCATCGTGCTCTACCACCGAGCTGCGTCCCCGGCTTCTGAATCTCCGGTTGAAGAGGCTGATGCTGGGTGCGAAGCTATGTCCAGATACCCCTAATTCCGGTGGATCTCTGTGAGTTCGGGGTCAGCCTGGGCCACAGGGCAGGAGTGCCAGGACAGCCAGAGATGTTACACAGAGAAACCCAGTCTCGAAAAACCAAAAAGAAAGAAATGAAGGAAGGAAGAAAAGAAAATGGTGAACTTGAGGCCAGTCTGGTCTACGTAGTGATTTAGAGGTCAGCTTGGGCTACCTATAATTCTGTTTCAAGGGAATGCAGACAGGGCTAGGGAGAGGGCCATTGAAGCATGAGGTCCTGAAAGCGAAGCACCAGTGCAGGCTCCACGGTGACTGCCGGGACCTCTGGCTGGGGAGGACTCAGCGGCCAGCAGCCGGTCTAGCGAGGCTGGCGCGTTCCGGGGTCAGTGAGAGACCCTCTCTCTAACAATATTGCGGAGCATCACTGGGGAGGCCTTGCTAGCTGTTGGCCTCCACACACAGGAGATGTTGACTGTACCAGGTACATCCTGCGCGGAGCCGGTGCTAGAGGGCCTCGGGGTGGGGTCAGAGGGAGGAGCGGCTGAAGCCTTCCGGCCGGCCGCAGACACCCTGGCATCCGACCGCTCTCGCCTTTTCATGCAGGTGGAGTTCTACTTCCTGTCCCAGTATGTGTCGCCGGCCGACTCCCCATTCCGCCACATCTTCCTGGGCCAAGGCGACCACACTTTGGATGCCCTGCTGGACCACCTGCGGATGCTGCGCTCCGATGGCTCCAAGGCCAACTCCTCCGGGTTGGCACCAGGTTTGGGCTTCCAGGAGAGCCGCTTCCGGCGCCAGCTGGCGCTGCTCACGTGGACACTGCAGGGGGCGGCCAACGCGCTGAGCGGCGACGTCTGGAACATCGACAATAACTTTTGAGGCGCCAAGCCCTGCCCGAGCCCCACGTGATTCTCCTGTTTGAGGGGTGCAGGCGGAAGGAGGGAGGTGGCGCCCCTCTCCTCGCTGCCCACTCTCATTGCGGCCCTTGGTCCCGCAGGGCGGCCGAGCCTTACTTTCTCGGTGTGACCCCCCCGCACTGTCACTTCTCCCGAAGGCGGCTTTCTTCCCTTTACTGGCCCTTCTGCCTCCAGGATCGAAGTCCTCCACATCTACAGACTGCCTGGGCTGGGATCGGGCCCTCTCTTCGCGGGTGGGTCTGTGGTGGGAGGTCCAAGGGGATGAGACGCCAATAAACCAATGGGTAGCATCTGTTGTCTGTAAGCAGCTTCGTTTCCCTTCATGACATCCCACACCTCACACCGGCCTGGAGATCAGCAAGGAATGGACCGGAGGCTCCTGACAGCATGCCTGCAGGGTGCTGTCTCTGCAGGGTGCTGTTCTGTTGCCTAAGGAATCGGCCCAAAGATAACTCATCAGGAACCGGTGCTTGCTGCCCAGCCTGATGACCTGAGTTCAGTCCCCAGGACCCACACGGTGGAAGTTTGTGGCTAATGCACTGGATGCTGGTTCGATTCCCAGCCCCTCTGTGACACTGTCTGTACCTCATGTTCCAGGGGATCAGATGCCCCAGGCACTACACATATGTAGTGCACAGACATACATATGCAGGCGAAATAACCGCACAGGTGAAGTAAAAACAAATAAACGTAAACTGAAAAAAAAAAAACAAAAACAGCCTCAGAGTTGCATGCTGTTAATCCTAGAACTGGGCTGGGGGTGCGGCTGGCGCAAGAGCAGGGGGATCCTGTGAGGTGGAGGCCAGCCTGGTCACCATGGTGACGTTCTACACCAGTGCTACATGGTGAGACCCTGTGGATAGAGAGTGCAAGCCTCTTGTTCACAAAGTAGGACCAGAAGGCGGGGCCGTGATGGGGCCCACCTTTAGTTCTGCCCGGCACTCGGGAGGCAGAGGCAGGCGGGTCTCTGTGAGTTCAAGGCCAGCCTGGTCTACAGAGTGAGTTCCAGGACAGCCTCCAAAACAATATAGAGAAACCCTGTCTCAAAAAACAAACAAAACAACAGAAAGAAAGAATGAGAGGGAGGGAGGGAAGGAGGGAGGGAGGGAGGGAGGGAGGAAGACACCCTGTCTTGAAAAACAATACCAAAAAGGTAGACCCAGAGTCAGATGATGGCTCACACTTGTCGTCCCAGGACTTGGGAGATTGCTTCAGGAGCATTGGAAGTTCAAGGCCCGGGGATGGAAATTCATCCCAGTTGGTGAGGTGCCTGTCAAACAAGCATGGGCTCAGCACCTACTACGCACTTCCCACTGAGTGGGTGGCACAGACTTGCAGTCCCAGAGCTGGGGAGGTGCGTTTGAGGGCTCACTGGACAGCTAGCCTGGCTTACTCCGTGAAGCCCGGTCCCAGTGAGAGACCCTGTCTTTTTTTCTTTCTTTCTTTTTATGATTTGGGGCTGGAGAGATGGCTCAGAGGTTAAGAGCACTGACTACTCTTCCAGAGGTCCTGAGTTCAGTTCCCAGCAACCGCATGGTGGCTCACAACCATCTGCTATGAGATCTGGTGCTCTCTTCTGGTCTGTAGACAGAACACTGTATACACAAATATAATCTTTAAACATTTATCTTAAAAAGATTTGTAAAAAAAAAACCTTTAAATTGTGCATATACGTGTGTGGGCATTTGCACATGTGAGTACCCTGCCTCGGAGTCCACCAAAGATTTGTTTTATTTCTGTGGTTATATAGCTATAAATTAGAAAACTTTTTTTTTTTTGGTTTTTCGAGACAGGGTTTCTCTGTGGCTTTGGAGGCTGTCCTGGCACTAGCTCTTGTAGACCAGGCTGGCCTCGAACTCACAGAGATCCACCTGCCTCTGCCTCCCAAGTGCTGGGATTAAAGGCGTGTGCCACCACCGCCCCGCTAGAAAACTTTTTTTTTATTTCTCCAGGAAATCCCATGCTGGAGGAGAAAGGTGTCCTGGAGTTAATCTTTTTTTTAACATAATTTATTTTATATGCATTGGTATGAAGGTATCAGGTCCCCTGGAACTTGAGTTATAGACAGTAAGCTGCCATGTGGGTGCTGGGAATTGAACCCTTGTCCTCTAGAAGAGTAGCCAGTGCTCTTAACCGCTGTGCCATCTCTCCAACCCCTAGAAAACGTTTTTATAGGTTAAGTTTTTATAACTATTCCAAGATAATATAACAATATTATATTTGTTAATATCAAATCATTAAACATGAGAAGTAAATTTTTCTTGCAAAGACATTTTTCCCTCTATTTTTAACTTATTTTTTTATTTAAATTAGAAGCAAGCTTGCTTCACACATCAATCCCAGCCCCCTCTCCCTCCCAAACCTGATGGCTTGGTCATGTGGTAGGAGGAGCTAACTCCATAGGTTGTCCTCTGACCACTTCCATGTACACACTCATGGATAAGCAAGTGCATACACGCACAATACATAAATGTAAAGAATAGTGGAAAGTAAGGTGGACGGCGCTGAGGAACACAGGCAGGGCTGACCTCTGGTCTCTACATGCATGTGTGCACACAAACACTCACACACATGTGAACATGCCAGCACACACAGTGTGGGCCCTGTAAGACTGTACAGGTCACATACCTCTTAGGTCGACCCTGTCTACATTTCCTCTGGGATCCCGTATGATCAACCTTTGTCCAGTGAGGAAGGAGACCTTAAATGTGAGCTATACATTAAGAGACGGTAGTTCTGTCTCTTTGTAAACAAAAGTTTGTGTTTATTATGTTTCTGTTTATTTCATGTGTGTGTGCATATGTGTGCATGTCACAGCCCATATGTGGGGGTTAGAGGATAACCTGCAGGAGGAGGCGGGTCTCTCTTCTGTCCTGTGGAGCTCTGGGATGGAAGTAGGGTCACTAGGCCTGGTGGCAGGTGTCTCGACCAGATGGACCTTCTCCTTGGCCCAGCTCTCTCTCTAAGCATGGCGTCAGAGCTGCAGCCTGGCTTCTGCTTGCTGGGCAGTGGCATACATGCGGCTGGCATGTCCTTGCTCCTTTCCTGCCCCCAGCACAGTGTGGGCGCTCTCGCACAGCTCCTCGGGCACTGGGAAGTAGAGATCACTCTTGTCATCTAAAGCTTGGGATAGTCCCGGAGCTGAACTTCAGTGTGAAACCACCCTCTCTGGCCCCTCTCCCACAGAGACTGACTTGCTGGGTTCCCAGGACCTTGGGCCCGAATTGAGATCAGAAACCTCAACTGTTGCCTTCCTCTACAGTGCATTTTCCAGTGGGGTCTCACAGCCCTTCTCCCTCTCGCCCGTAGACAGAAGAATGACAGGCACAGAGATGTCCACGTTGTCATCTGTAGGCAGAATGGCTTTGCAGTTGGGGCTCAGAGTCTCCCCCCCTTCCTTCTACTTCCTCCCCCCCCTTTGTGTTTGAGGCAGAGTCTCATGTAGTTCAGGCTGCATGGAGTTCTCCAAGGGTTTCCGTGAACGTTTGAGTCTCATGCCTCTTCTCAGATGCTGGGATTAAAAGCGTGCGCTGCGGTATCTGGCTGCGATTGAAGATCTGAATTGTGCCCTCGCATTCCCAAAGCCCTTTGCTCCCCACCACTTCAGAGTGTGAGGACTTGGGTACGGCGTTTTGTTTTGTTTTTTGAGACACGGTTTTTCTGCATAGCCCTGGCTGTGCTGAAACTCACTCTATAGACCAGGTGGGCCTTGAACTCAGGGATCTATCTCTTATCTCCCAACTGTGGGGGTTAAATAAAGGTATGTGCCACTACCACCCGGCTTCTTCTTTGGAAGACCAGGGCTCACTGTGTAGCCCAAACTGGCCTGGAACTAAAAATCCTACTGTATCAGCCCCCTGACTGCTAGGATTACAGAGTATGTTAACCTTTAAGGTTAAGTAAAAATGAAGAACTATCCAATCATGGTAGCACCTACCTGTCAGGCAGAAAGGGCTTTTTATGCTATTTATACATTTTTTAGAAGATTTACTTATTGTTATTTTATTTGTATGAGTGCATGTATGTATGTTCACTCTGTACATGCCCGGTGCCCAGAGATGCCAGGAGAGTGACAGATCCCCTGGAACTAGCATTATAGATGGTTGTGAGCCACCTGTGAGTTCTGGGAACCAGACCTTGGTCTTCTGCAAGAGCATCACGTGCTCTTAACCACTCAGCCATCTCTCTGGCCCCCAAAGAAAAAAACAGTGAAGGCTCCGTTTCCAGGTGTGGTGGTGCACACCTTTTTCTCTCTCTCTCTCTCTCTCTCTCTCTCTCTCTCTCTCTCTCTCTCTCTCTCTCTCTCTCTCTCTCACGCGTTCTCTCTCTCTCTCATTTTGTTTTTCAAGACGGGTTTCTCTGTGTAGCCCTGGCTGCCCTAGAACTCGCTCTGTAGACCAGGCTGGCCTCAAACTCATGGAGATCCACCTGCTTCTGCCTCCCGAGTGCTGGAACTAAAGCGTGCTCTGCCAGCTCCCGGCGGTAGCGTGCACCTTTGATCCCAGCACTTAGGAGGCAAAGGCAGGTGGATCTCTGTGAATTCCAGGACAGCCAGAGCTACAGAATGAGACCCAGTCTCAGAAGGAGGAGGAGGAGGGTGAGAAAGTCCCATACCAGCCAGGGCTACCGCATCAGCAAGACCCTATTCTGAAGAATGCTTCCGAGCTATCTCAGTGGTTAAGAGCACATACTATTCTTCCAGAAGATGTGAATTAAATTCCCAGCACCACATCAGGTGGCTCACGCCTGCCCTTAACTCCAGCTGGAGGTTTGAATTTGAGCTGTCACCGTAAGCCTCAGGTGTTTGAATACTTGGTACCTAGCTGGTGGTTGTTTTGAAGGAGGAGGGCGGGCTTGGGTGGCCTTTGAGGTTTCTGAAGACTGACACCAGTCCCAGTGTGCTCTCTGCTTCATGCTTGTGGTTCAAGCTGTGAGCTCTGGCTGTTGCTCCAGCCCCCTGCTGTCTTCACGATGGAAGCCTGAGCCCCAGAGCCCCAGAGCCCCAGAGCTTAGCTGGGGAAACTGATCTCCGCGGCACAGACTGGGTCTTGTGCGGTCTTGCTGACTCACGGTTGCCAATCAACCGTCTGTCTAGTGTCCCTGGCTCTCTCTTCTCCACAGCTTCCCTGCATCTGAAGGAGGGCGGGCAGACCACAGGCTGCCTTCTGAAGACCCTGTTCTCTGTCTGTGCCTCAGTTTACCACACAGTTAGAGTGAGGTTGTGTCAGGCCTCCGGGTTCCTGACCCACGCACGGGAGCTGAGTTCATAAAGAGGCGCTGGAGAGTCGGCTAAGTGAGTAAAGATGCTTGCCACCAAGCCTGGTGACCTGACTGTGATCTCTGGAACTCACCTGGTAGAAGTAGACTGGAATCCCACAAATTGCCCTTTGACCTTCACTTGAAGGCCATGGTATGCTTGTGCCAGTCTCCTCCCCCCAAAATAAATAAATGACAACAACATAGGTTCCAAAAGTCTACTAAAAGGGGCAAGACAGGGTGGAAAGTTCAAGACTAGCCTGAGCTGGCCGGGCAGTCATAAAGTCAGCAAAGTCTCCTGGGGGTGGGCAACATGTGTGCGACCCTGCAAAGGGGCGCAGTCTGCTTAACACTGGTTGTAGTGTGTTGGTCAGGTTCCCTAAGGTTGACCAAAACCCGCATGTCTATGCAAAAGCGGGGGAACTTAGTGGGGTGGCTTACAGGCTGCGGTCTGGGTTAGCACTGATGGCTGCCCCCTGATGGGAAGACCAGGGACCCGGTAGTTATTCAGATCCCCAACCCTGGATGTCTCAGCGTGCACAGGCTGGTGCTGGAGGCCTGGAGGACTCCTGGAGAGCTGCAGGTTCTGACACCACGAGGAATGCCCCAGCATCAGGACAGACCTCGCCAGAGAGCGAGGGTGAGCAGTGAGAAAAGGCTTCCTTCTGCCTGTCCCTTTATGCGGGCTGCCACCAGAAAGTGTGACCAGGACTTAGGGTGGGACTTCTGGACTCAAATGATTCAACCAAGAAAACCCTGCAGATATGCCCAGTTGCTTGGGTTTTGGCTGATTTTAGATATAGTCAAGTTGACAACTAAGATTATAGCAGACACAATTAGATGTTTGCTTTTAGGCTAGGTATACTGGCTGAGGGGCAAATTTCTATTTGTGAGTGAAAGGAAAATTTTTTAATCCTTCATGGTGCTTGGATAGGACACCAAGGTCTTAGGCACGCCGAGAACTGCTCAACTACAGCGCTGAAGCCCCAGTTCTAACGGTGTGTGTGTGGGGTGTCCTTTTTCTTCAGTTACAGGAACTGAATCCAGGGACTCATCACACACACCGAGCTCTACTACTGAGCCACATCCTAACCCTCTTTTTGTTTCTGCTATTATCGTTTTGTTGTCTTCATATTTTTCAAGACCATGTCTCACTAAGTAGCCTTGACTGATCTAAGCCATGTAGACCAGGCTAGCCCCAAATTCATAGAGCTCTGCTTGTCTCTGCCTGTGCCAGTGTGGCCTAGGCCTCTTTCGGCCTTCTGAGACGTGATCTTACTAATTTACCCTTTTACTTTCCCTGTATACCTGGGAATGGAAGTGGGAGGGACAAGAGGCCGTCTGGGCACCAGGAAAAGGGGTGGGTGGTGGCCCTGGAACCCACAGACTCAACGGCTGGTGAACAGCATTGACTGCTCTTTCAGAGGACCCAGGTCTAGTTCCCAGAACCAACACAGTTGTTCTCCTTAAGATTTTTATTTATTTATTGTGTATTCAGTGTTCTGCCTGCAGGCCAGAAGAGGGCACCAGATCTCATTACAGATGGTTGTGAGCCACCATGTGGTTGCTGGGAATTGAACTCAGGTCCTCTGGAAGAGCAGTCAGTGCTCTTAACCTCTGAGCCATCTCTCCAGCCCCTGACCTCTGCAAGGCCCCAGACATGAATGTAGTGCACATACATACATGCAAGCAGAGATACTCATGCACGTAAGAATAAGTATTTATTAAAAAATTAAAAATTATTTTATGGGCAATAGGGACACATACCTTTAATCCCAGTACTTAGAGGCAGAGGCCACCCTGGTCTACAGAATGAGTTTCAGGACAGCCAAAGCTACACAGAGAAACCTTGTGTCGAAAAATCAAAATTAAAAATGGCAGGGGAGCGGTGGCGTACACCTTTAATCTCAGCACTCCGGAGGCAGAGGCAGGCGGATCTCTGTGAGTTCGAAACCAGCCTGGTCTACAAGAGTGAGTTCCAGGACAGCCTCCAAAGTCACAGAGAAACCCTGTCTTGAAAAACAAAAACAAAACCTAAAAATGATTTACAAAGTGGGGAGGGCGAGCATGAGGACCTGCGTTCAGATCCCAGCACCCATGCTGTCTTAGTTTCTTTCCTGCTGCTGTTAAGGAAGCGTGGACTTGTTTTAGCTCACAGTTCCACTTCAGTCCGCCATGGCGGGAAGTCATAGCGGCCTGAAGCCAGCGGGTCACACCACACCTGTTTCCAGAGTGAGACTGAGTGCTCAGCTCCCTCTCCCTCCCACCCATTCCAGGACCAGCCCATGAAATGGAGCAGCCCACACCGGTGGCCATCCTGCCTCAGTGAGCATAATCAGGGTCACCCTGTTGATGCACAGCAGCTGGCTCCCAGGTCAGTCTAGAAGCTGTCAAGTTTATAATGAACGGTACAGCTGCATGAATGCGTAACCTCGGTGCCGGAAGGGGAGGTGGAGCTCACCAGTGAGAGAACTCAGCCAATCGGTGAGCTCTAGGTTCGGTGAGAGCCTTGCCTCAGAAAATAAGACGTAGGGGCTGGCACTATGGCTCAGAGGGTATAGGCACTTGCCCCCAAGTCTGATGGCCAGAGTTCAATGCCGGGAGCCCACACGGTAGGAGGAGAGACCTAAGGCTGTCTTTTGATCTCTGTGCCTCATGTGCACTCGAAGACACAGACGTGGAGACTTCTGCTCAAGCCCACACAGCATTTAAATAAAGATAAATAAATCAAAGTGAGAAGCCAAGGACAAGGAGCCAACACTTCCCATCTTGATTTTTAAAACTTATTTTATTCAACTTGGAAAATGACTATAAATCCCTGGGGGGGAGGGATGACACCTGACGGCTGGGAGAAGGGCAAACGTCACAGCGGCTGCCTCAGGTCCTGCCTGCAAGGAGGGTGGGTGGGTGCAGCTGAGAGCTCAGGTCCGGAGGAACACCATGGTGAGGAGGCCTGAGGGTGGGAAAGACAGACTGCAGGCCGGCCCTTCCCTGCCCTTCCCCGCCCTTTCCCCCGCCCTTCCTCCGCAAGTGGGCCCGGCTGCTCCTCCACTGTGCTCACCTAGGACGTAGGCTGCCACCAGCTTCTGTCCTAGGGACACGTGCAGGACTCGAGGCAGCTGGCTGCCAAGCTCGTCCTGCAGCGGCAGTAGCAGGAAGGCCACAGAGATGACGCCTGTCAGCAAGAAGAGCAGGAAGGAGCTGGTGGCCAGCTGCTGGCGGGCATCTGCAAAAGGAGGGGCGTGAGCGCTGCTGGCCCAGGGGTCGGGTGAACACTGCAGGCGCGGTTACTCTGTGTGGGGTTTACTCGCATATTATTCACTTGAGACAGGGACTCACATGCATGTAGTCTAGGATGACCTCAAAGTCATTAGGTGGCCAAGGATGGCCTTGAACTTCTGACCTCCTGCCTCCACCTCCCAAGTTCTGGAAATAGAGGTGTGCACTACCATATCCCGCTTTGGTTATCTTTCTTCCGTGTCTATAGATGTGGGTGGGTGGGTACACGTACACGTGTGTTACATACACAGACCCGAAATCAACCACAAGCGTGGAGCGTGGCTCCTCGGGAACCATCCCGCTTGTTTTTTGGGAAATGAGGCCTCCCAATGGGACCTGGACTTCTCTGTTAGACAGGCGGACTAGTCAGACAGCCCCAAGGATCTGCCTGTCTCTGCCTCCTCAGAACTAATTCCAAATACAATGTTACCATGATATGGGTGCTGGGGACTGAACTCAGGTTCTTGTTCTTTTTTTCTTTTTTAATTTATTTTATATGCATTGATGTGAAGGTGTCAGATCCCCTGGAACTGGAGTTACAGACAGTTGTGAGCTGCCATGTGGATGCTGAGAATTGAACCCAGGTCCTTTGGAAGAGCAGCTCACTCTCCTGAAGGTGTCTGGCTGGGGTTGGTCCTGTCCCCGCAGGAGCCGTCTCTCCAGCCCCAGGTTCTTAACTCTTATGTAGCAAACACTTTACCAACCGAGGTATTGCCGCACTCCCGCCGCCCCGTTTTTCTAATGTTACTGTGTAGCCAGGCTGGCTTGGAACCTGCAACACTACTTTCTTCCTTCCTTGCAGCCCCGAATGGTGGTATCCCAGGCTTGTACCATCACGCTGGCCTTTGTGTTTGCATTTTATTGTCCTCCAAAGGCACCCTAGGGGTGCCCTCTCCTCCTGGGAGCCTCTGTTCTAAAGCCACAAGAAGCTCTGTCCTCTGGTCCCTCCTCTTCCCCCTGCCTTCAGTACTGTGTCCTTGGTGTCCTGGGCTAGCAGACAGCGCCTCTATGTCTCCCATGCCCAGGACACAAGAGCACAACTGCTCAGTACAGGGTCTCACTGAGCTGGACGTAGCTGGCACCTGATAGTAGCCCCTGCAGTTGGAGCTCGGGAAGAACTGTCCCTCTGGTTACAAGCTGGAAACCAGAGCAACAGCAAAGTCTTCTTCATTCACCCGGATAGAAAACCTCATCCAGGAACATCTACGCACGCACGCACGCACGCACGCACGCGCCTGAACCTAGAGGCTTCTTCAAACCTCACTTAGTTAATTTTTAGGGTAACACTACTCCTTCTCTCCCTGTAGAATTCAGGAGTCCCCACGGCAGGACTGGGGATACTGCTCAGCAGTGGAGTGTTTTCTTGGTATGCCTTAGGTACCAGGTGAATCCCCAGTACTACAGAAAACCCAGAATCATGGAGAAATGACTCAGAGCAAGCATGAGGACCTGAATTCAGATGCCCAGTACCCCGGAAAAACCTGGGCGTGGTAGTGTGTGCCTAAAATCCCAGTCTTTGGGTGGTGGAGACAGGTAGCTGCTGAATTCTGAAGTTAACTAGCCTAGCCAAATCAACGTGTTTTAGATTCAGGGAGAGACCCTGTCTCAAAACATAAAGGAGAGAGACAGTAAAATTAACCTTTGGCCTACACACACTCAGGCAGGCAGGCACGCAGAATAATACACACACAACACCACAAACACACACACTAAGAATCCATTAACTCACTCTCCTGCAGGTGTCTGGCTGGGGTTGGTCCTGTCCACGCAGGAGGCGCTGGGTTGGGTGTTGGCTCAGAATGTCCTTGAAGCTCCAGGGGGTAGGCTGGGGCCCGAAGAACAGAGGTGATGTCTTTTCGTCCAACCACACGTCCCTCAGCCCCCTCCTCTGACAGCTCAATTCGGAATCGGTCCTGGACATCATAGTGGCTGGGGACGGGGGCCACGTGCCGTATCACACTGACCCGTTGGGAGGAAGTAAGTGAGAAGCAGCCAACCAAGCGAAGCCAGATCTCCTCCCCCAGAAACTCTCCCCAGAGTGACTGCAGCCAGCGGGCAGGCGACAACGCCTCAGACCAAAGGCAACAGGTGGAGCCGCCTGGCTGCCCCCTACCCCTCCCACTCACATGTCAATGCAAGACTGCGGCTTCACGTAGCCTTCCGCATCGAACACCGTGTACTTGGCGGGCGCTGTACACAGAACTGTGGGATAAGGGCACACAAGGAGACCGTAGGCAGGCTTTGCAAACGGCGGGTCACCGGAGCCCCTTCCGTCCGCCACCCCAGACGGAGACGGACGTCGTCTTTGCAGACCGGTCATCTTGCTCTTACTTGACTGACTCCTCCAGCTCACATAACCCTTCCATACCCTGCTACCAACCCCCGGAACCCGGGACCCAGGCGCTCGCCACTTCACCTCGGAAGCGAAGCGCGGTTCCCGTGGGGTTGTAGAGGGTCAGCAGCTGCCGGGGTCCACTCCTTTGGTCCGCCCTGAATACTAGATCCGGAGGAAAGACGAGCACCGGGACGACGGGTCCTGGGGAGGAAGGGGAGCCCCGCGGCCCCCGCCCAGGGGCCCCGGGACCCACCAGCTCCTGGTCCTGGGGCGCCCCACGGCGCATGCAGGCTCTGGGCGGTCGGACATCCGAGGGCAGAGCTCGGGAGGCTCAGGGGGCCTTGGATCTAGGGCCGGCGGCGCGAGGGGGGAGAGAGCACGGGTGAGGCCGCGGCAGAGCCCGGCCTGCCGTCGCGGCTCCCCGCCGGGTGTGCACCTCGCAGCCCCAGGCCCGGGCCCCGCAGCCTCGCCCCCTGCAGCCCGGCCCCGGCGGCCTGGAGGCCCCGCCCCCAGACCGCACCGCGACGGCCACGCCCACTCAGCTGAACTCTGGCCCGCCCAGTCGCTTCCCCATCCGGGCCTTCCGATACGGTGGGCAAGCCCCGCCCCTTCCGGGCGTTCCCGCTCCGGGTCTCCGGACGGACTCCGTCCTTTGAGTCCTCCTGCTCTCCAGGCCGCCGCGCTGTCTGCGGCCCATCTACTCAAGCCGGCCCGTGCCCTCTCCGGCACTCCACCTCCGAATGGCCGCCCGCCCTACTACAGCCACCTTGCAGTCAAAGTTCCCTCCGGGCGACTCGCCTCCAGGCCAAGGGCGCCATCTTCCCGGAAGTCTCCTAAGGCACTTCCGCCGTACGGCCCCTCTCATGGGTCGATGCTCGTCGCTTCCGCCCACCTGCACGCCGATTGGTGGCTCGTCAAAGACCAAGCGCTGCCCTCTCGGTGCTCGTGATTGGCGGCGGCGCCTCGGGGGCGTGGTTCCCGGCTCGGGGGCGTGGCTCCCGGCGCCGAGCTCCCGCGCTGGTCTGACAGGAACCCGGAGAGGCGTGCTGGGCTCTAGACTTTTCTCTTTTTTCTTTTCATTCCGCTTTTCTTTCCTTCCTGCATAATTATGCCTGAGAAAACGTGCGTGCACAGTGACGTAAGGTTGATGGTCATCAGTGAGCGGAACTGGATAAGCCAGAGTCTCGGCCAGCTTTGGTGACACTTTTTTATTTTTTATGTTTTTAAAAAGGGAGGGGTAGTGAAGGGTTAGCCCAGCGGTTAAAAGGACCCAGGTTCGGTCCCGGCGTTCGCTTAGTGCTTCATAACCACGTAATAACTCCAGGGTCATGGGATCGGACGCCCTCATCTGACCTCTTCCCGTACGTGGTTCATATACGTGCTGATGAAACACTCGATGTACATGAATAAATCTTTTAAAAGAGGTTTGTTTATATTTGCCTGCACGGCGGAAGAGGGCATCAAATCTCATTGTGGATGATGGTGTGTGGTTGCTGGGAATTGAACTCGGGACCTCTGAAAGAACCAGTTAGTGCTCTTAACCTCTGAGCCAGCTCTTGAGCCCTAATAAAAGACTTTTTTTTAAAAAGAGGGACTTAAGAGGCCCCGTCTCTATGGGTAGATAATAATTGCTAGAAAGGGAGAGACATTTTCTTCCTTGGGATAACCCCTAATAAGTTTTCTACGCTCTTGGAAGCAACCCTAATAAAACTCACTGGTTCACCAAAAACAAACAAAGAAAGAACCACCCAGAAGTCAGGAGAACTACCTGGGAAGGGAAGGGAATGCACAGGAATGCAGGACACGAGACACGGTGGCGGTGAATGTGATCAAACGTATAAAAATGCCATGACGAGCTCATTATATTTCTATAAAACTAGTAATCACAATTAATATGGTTAGGGAAAAAAGAAGCTGACGGGGAGGGGGCAGTGGTGCATGCCTTGGGAGGCAGAGGCAACCTGGTCTACAGATGGAGTTCCAGGACAGCCTCCAAAACAATACAGAGAAACCCTGTCTCAAAAAGAAAAGGGCGGGGGGGGAAGCGAGTTGATAGGGCACTCACCTGCCATCCCAGTATTCCAGAAACTAAGGACTGCAAATTCTAGGCCAGCCTGGGCCACATGGTAAGTTGAAGACCATGTTAGGCAAGACAAGATCTTGTTTAAAACAATAATAGGAAGAGGGAGATGGGAATTGAACCCGGGTCCTCTGGAAGAGCAGTCAGTGCTAAACCACTGAGCCACCTCTCCAGCTTCGTTTACTCTGTGTGTGTGAGAGAGACAGAGACAGAGACAGACAGAGAGGGGAAGGGGGAGAAGATAGATTAATATGTGTCGGGTGCATGTATGCTGTGACCACTTACGAATGCTGCTGCCTGCAGAGGTCAAAAGAGGGCATTGGATGTTCTGGAAACTAGTTACAGAGCCACCGTGTGGGTGCTGGGAGCCAAACCCAACTCTGGAAGAGCCACCTAACCTTAGCTTCGAAGCCGTGAGCGCTAGCTTCTTCTCCGTACTCTTTTTGTTTGTTTTTGGTTTTTCGAGACAGGGTTTCTCTGTGGCTTTGGAGGCTGTCCTGGAACTCACTTTGTAGACCAGGCTGTCCTCGAACTCACAGAGATCCGCCTGCCTCTGCCTCCCGAGTGCTGGGATTAAAGGTGTGCGCCACCACCGCCCGGCCTCCTCTGTACCCTTTACTGTGTGGTGTGCATAGGTGGTGTCCAGAAGTCAACAGCGGGCGTTTTCTCAAGTCGCTCTTCACCTTATTACTTATTTTTAAGCAATACTTAAGTTTTTATTTTTGGTGCATTATGTATGTTTGCGGGGACACGTGTGCCATGACACATGTCACACGTGCACGTGTAGAAGGCAGAGAACAACCTGCTGAGGTTCATTCTCTTCCCACTATGTGGGGTCTACAGACTGAACTCAGATCATCAGGCGTAATGCCGAGTGCCTCACAGTCGCCCTCGCGGGGACACACGGTCTCTCGCTGAAATTGAAGCTCGCTGGACTAGGTTGGCTAGCCAGCAAGTCTAATGGGTCCTCTTACCTCTGCCTCCCTGGGTTACAGGTGCACCCTGCTGTGCCTGCTTACTTATGTGGGTGCTGGCAGTCACCGTGTGAGCACTAAGCCACTTCCCATCCTCCTAACTTACTTCCTTTCGTTGTGTTTTACCAAAGTGTGTGTGTGTGTGTGTGTGTGTGTGTGTGTGTGTGTGTGTGTGTGTGAGACCATGCATGTGTGGACGGCAGAGAACAACTTTACAGGAGTCAGTTCCCCCTTTCACCATGTGGGTCCAGGGATGGGATTGAGGTCTTTAGGTAGCAGGTGCCTCTGCCCACTGAGCCAGCTCGCCTGCCCTTAGCATGTGTTCTTTTGTTTGTTTTTGTGTGTTTGAGGCAGGTTCCTCAGTGTAGCCCTGGCTGTCCTGGAACTCACTCTGTAGACCAGGCTGGCCTTGAACTCAGAGATGCACCTGCCTCTGCCTCCTAAGGGATCAGAGGGATGCACCACCACCCAGCCTGGCCCCTACCATGTGTAACTAAAAGAGTATTCTGAAGGCTGAAGATAGAGCGCTATCTTCAGCTGTAGCGCACTTGCCTAGCTTGTATAAGCCCGAGCTCACCCTCAAAGAAACAGTGCTCTGAAATGCAAGATGCACACCCCACGCACAGCCACAGAACTGATCTGTGACCCCTTCCTGAGTCAGGAGCATTTATTTGGATGAGAGCACCATACACGGAGGCTGCATCTGGCTAGGACCTCAGGCCGCTGTCCTAGGCTGGGAGGGACACTTCCGCTTGCTTAGGTTACTGAGGATCTGGTCCTGGTTGGGCTTGTAGGGAACCACGAAGCTCTCTGGAGGAAGGATGGGGTCTCTGCTTTCTTCCACCTGACCCATCAACAGGTAACTGGCTCCTGGGAGGGGAGGGGATTGAGAACTCAGTGACACCTGGTGACACCCTGAAGTTAGCAAGACCTGGTGACACCCTGATCAGACCTTGCACCTTGGCTAGTGTGCTCGGTACTCATCCCCATATCCCACGCCCCCTACCTTTCTTCATGGGGGGCATCTGCCTGCAGGGCACATAGAGCTTCAGAGGGGTGTCACTGGGTGGAGAAGGCAGGTCCAGTCCTCCGCTTTTGTAAACACCAAGGAGACTGATGGTGACAGTGAGTCCCTCCCCTGGGCCTCGGACCATGGTCTTCACTGTTCCAGTCACCACTGTGGAAGGATGGGGGTGAGAGAGAAGAGCCCAGTGGCTAGGGCTGGACTTGGATGAGGGCGTGGGGAGTCGGGAGGGCAGGATGGAGAGTCTTACCCAGACTACTGGCACAAAAGTTGCTCTGCAAGGTGCCTAGTCGCTTGTACTGCTTGGGGCAGGTGACACTGGCTGCACCTAGGAGAGACAGTGCTGCTTTGGAGGACAGGCAGGACCATTTGCCTTGCTCAGTGCTAGGAGTAGAGGCAGAGTCTGATGCGGACTAGGCAGGGCCCTAGGGCTGAGCCACGCCCTTCCACCCTCCCTGGGGCATTCTAGGCAATGCCTTGCCACTGCGGGTCTGAGCTGCACTTCCAGCCCTTTTTGTGAGGGTTAGGGAAGATCACCGCTGAGCCGTGCCGTCAGCCCTCCCTGGGGACTCTCCACAAACCCTGCCCTAGCCAGTCACATCTGAAATCGCAGCAGCCATGTACTTGGCAGCCCAGAGCCCCAGGCAGCACTGCTTCCCAGCACCAGATCCAGACACTCGGCAGGAGGCCTGCATCCCTGAGTGCTGAGTGAATGACAGAACAGAGGAAGATCTTAGTGCTTCCTTTACTCCAAGTCCGGAGTCACTGATGGTTGTGAGCTGCCCACATGGGCACTGGGAATCAAGCCGCGGTCCTCTGGATGAGCAGCCAGTGCTCTAACCACTGAGCTTCTCTCCGGCCCCTTCTTCCACCTCTTCATGCTAACTCACCCGGGGCCGCTGGAGTTTCCCGGGTGTCAGGGGAGACCTCAGGTTTCTCTGCAGGTTGGGATTTAGGTTTGCTGGGTGGTTTGACTTTGGGCCCAGCTCCTGTCTTTGGGTCAGAGCGGGACTGGGGACCAAGCTGCACATCCTCCCCTGGGCTTGGAGCAAGCTCCTTTTCCACAGCACCCCGTGGCAGGGTCTTGTAGGAGGCTGAGAAGCCATCTGCGGTGACACTGAGATCAGACACAAACTGGACCAAGAGCTCATTCCCTTCGGAAGAGATGGGGCTGCAGAGGACAGAGGAGAATTGGCTGAGGCGTCAGGGAAGACTTTGTGCCTTGTTCTGTCCCCAGTGGCCAACCTTAAACTAGTCCTCCCACACCCCAGAGCCCTCGGCGCTGCAGACCCCAGAAGACACACTAAACCTTTGCCAGCTCCTATACTTGTTCAGACCCATGCTTTGAAATCCTGGAGCTCACATTTTGCCTGGTCAGCTGAGCCTCCCCCAGCCCTGCATGGCCTCGACAACTATTCACATAGGGGTGAGGGTTAGCCCCAAGAGTGCCAGCCAAGGGTCCATCCCTCACCTAGGGGCCTTGTCTCCACAAAACTTGCCCAGCCTCTTCGAGTCATCACTCACAGCTCCGTTGAACACGCTGACAGAGTCGTAGCGGCAGTACGTGTCAGGTTCCACATCGAACTTCCCAAAGGTTAGCATGATCACCTGGTGGAGGTGGGACAGGCCAAGGTGGACAGGTACTGCCCTGCACCTCCTCAGCCCCAGGAGTACTTGGTGGTAGCACCAATAGTAAGTTCCCTTGTTCCCTCTTTAACGTTTTCACACTGCTAACCTAAGGGTCTCACACACACACACACACACACACACACACACACACACACACACGCACACACATCCACACTCTACAGGAAGCATCCTCTGACTTGGTGGCGAGGTCAACTCACTCCCAATGGACAGAACTCCACCCCATTAGTGCAACACGAAGTTCCTCCTATCGGGACCATGCACTCCCCTCCCCTAAGGCCAGCAGTGGCCCTTTTGTCATTTCTGCTTGCATGTAAGCGGTCTGGGTCTGGTTTCGGTCTCTACCAGGGCAAGCTCAGGGATCAGGACACACAACTGTGCTGCCCGTCTGCTTTAAGGATGCTGCCAGGGTGCCTGGCGAGTAGCCCAGGCAAGAGGGTCAATACCTGGTCTGAGGGTGCGATGATGTGCCAGGAACAGCTGATGCCTGGGGGGTAATCCGACTCAGGCCAATTGGGCGTGGTCAGGGTTCCCTGGGCCTTCTCCATCCGCCCCCCGCAAAACTGGTGCTCTGAGAAGGGAAGAGAGGGGCCGGGTGGGGGGCGGTGGAGACCCTCCGTCAGCTAGAGAGCTCTGGACTGGGGGCTGGCAGGAAGCTAGGAAGTCTGGGTCTCAAGATGAGGGAACAAGAAAGGGGGCGGGTCAGCGAATGGCTGGGAAGACAGGGCTGGGGCGCCCAACAGAGAGGAAATGGATCCCTTCTGGTCCCTCCCCGACCCGCCGCACCACGCCTCTTCCCCTAGGAGATCCCATCTCTCCATCCCGGCCTAGCAGAAGAACCCTCTTAAGCAGGCTAGAGAGCGCTCATGTTGTGAGGGAGACCTCTCTGACGAGATCTCTGCCTGAAACAGTCCGGAGAGACTTGTGCTGCCGGGAGGGGGTGATGGGACCGCAATCGGGATCCCAGAGCTGGGTATGGGGGCTCCAGTGAGGCAATCCTGGCCCCCAGCTTCAGGGCGCCCCCCTTACGCTTGCCAGAGGAGCCCGATTGCGGGAGGGGGGCGGGCTGTTACTCACCGTCCCAGTAACCCCAGGCCGCCCATTCCACCCGTGGGTCCAGGACCCATTTCCGCCTCGCACCTGGGGGAGGCCCTGGAAGAGGGGTGGTGGGAGCGGGAGGGGGAGAGAAGACCAGGAGGAGGGACTGAAGGGACGGTTAGTGAGAAGAAAGGGAGTGATGGTGACCCTAACTCTTGGGAGTAATCTGGGGAGGGTGGAGGTTAGGGCAGGGGTGGGGACCTGAACCAGGGCGGGGCGAGGAGAGGGGGAGGAGGGGGCACGGATGCTCACCAGTGCCTGAGGTGGCCCGGCCGCTGTACCAGAGCAGGAAGCCTCGTCCCCCAGTGCCCTCGTCAGTTGTCATCCGTAAAGTCACCTGGTTGCCAGGGGCGACTACAGGCGCAGGCCTGAAGGTACCACAGAAGCGGCCAAGTCGCTGGCCTGAGGTCCCGGACCCAGCAAAGACCTCCAGAGCGTCATAGCGGCAGGAAGGGTGGAGCTCCATATCGAAGACTCGGAAGGACAGCGACACAGTCTGGCCCTCAGGCACCTGATAAAAGGGGGGGGGCGGGGACCCACACAATCAGGCCCCAAACAACCCCAACAGTGAGCATCACCCCCTCCCCCAAGTACTTCCCAGAGAAACAGCCCCTGGCTAGTGCCGCTCAGAGGGCCTAGGCTCTACTCCCCGCTTGTGGTCCCTGGAGGGAGAGAACGGGCCCAATTAGGGGTAGAGACTCAGCATTTGTTACCACTAAAAAAAATAAGAAAAGAAGACTTAAACTAGGTATGGCAGCTCACACTTGTAATCCCAGATCTACCATGCTGGCAAAGCCAGCCTCAACTACACAGCGAGACCTGGCCTCCAAAAACACAGAATTAAGACTCAGTACCCTGAGTGCATGTCTGTGATCCAAGCTATTTGGGAAACTGAGGCTGGAGGATCAAAAATGCAAGACCCATAATTTACATAGACCCTGTCTCAGAAACAAAAAGTGAAGGAGCTTGAGGAGGTGGCTCAAGTTCAAATCCCCAGAGCCCATATAAGAGGCCACGTTTAAAGTCTCCACACATGCCCTATGGGGGCAGACAGGAGGGTCACTGGGGTTTGCTGACCTTTAGACTCGCTCTAGATTTAGAGACTTTGTCTCTAGGAAATAGGGTGGGGAGTGGTAGAATTCTAGAACATCCAACATAGCACACACATACACACTCACACACACACACTCACACACACATACACATATACACACACCATACACATACACACTCATACCCACCATACACACCACACATACACACACACCACACACATACACACATACTCATATACACACACCACACACACTCTCTCACACACCATACACTCTCACACACCATACACATACACACTCACACCCACCATGTACACACCACACATACACACACCACACACACATACACACCCACACACACCATGCACACACCACAAACACTCTCTCACACACATACACACACACCATACACACACCACACACAAACACTCACACACACACTCACACATACCCCCCATTCTCTCTCTCTCTCTCACACACACACACACACCACACACCACACAGAAAAACAAACAAGAATCCTAAATAAATAAGAGGTTGGGATGTGCCTTAGTGGTACAACTCTGGCCTAGTGTGTCTAAGTCCCAGGTTCCATTTCCAGTAACAGGGAGGACAAGGGGTGGGAAGGTCAGGATTCGCCAGAGCTCGTCACTGTGGAGCCTGACAGCCTTCCGAGCAAAGGGGAGAAGAGGGCTTCCCGGACTCCGGTGATGTGGTGGTGGTGGGGTGTCTTTTGCCATGGAGACTGATGGAAGGCAGAGAGGCCAGAGGGCCTCCTTTCTCACCGTGACTGTCCAGATGCACTTCTTATTTGGGGGGTAGAGGTTGGGGAAACCCTCACTTGCCACGTAACCCGACTCTCCCGTCACGTCCCCTCCACACAGGAACACGGGTCTAGAGGACAGAAGGGTGTCAGGGAGGGTCCTCAGAATGGGAAACCCCAGGCAACACGGGAGGATGTGCTGGAAAAGCCTCAGCCTGTGAGGCAGGGACTCCCATCCAAGGACCAAGTGGGTTTAGGCAACGGGCATCTCTCCAGCCCCGAGAGGCTCCACCCCCACACCGACAGGAATTCCCGGAATCCTCCTCAGTCCCCTAGCTTTCTCTACCCCTCCTTGCCCTGCCAGGCAGTCAAGGACAGGAGCCGCTTAACTACTTCCAGATGTGACAAGCCATGAGGCCATGAGGGGGAGGGGGTAAGAGAGATGCGGGGAGCAACAGTGGACATACAGTTGGGGCTCCCACCTCTGCCCTGCGCCGGGCTCCAGTTATAAGGACCAGATCTGACTTTCTGCTTGCTGCCCTTCCCCCAACCTCATTTCCTGAATGTCAGCCAAAAGACAAGTTCAAGGTCTTGGCTTTCTGGGTTCAAACTCCATGGAAAGGCATGGCTCTGGTTGGAAAGGGAGATTTAGGGCAGAAGAACAGTCGTAAAGGAGTGGAGACAGAGGCAGTCTGCGGACCAGCATGGCTCTGCAGCAGACAGGGAGAACAGGAATCTGAGGAGGAAGATGGGGAGTGCAACCGGGTTACTAGCAGGAGAGCCCGCAAGATCCCCCCAAGCACAGCCCTCCCAGGAGTCACAAGCATTTCGAAGCTCCCTCTGGAAGCCATCTGAAAGACATGAGACCTACCTGGTATAGTTGGGGGTCTGGCCTCGGGCAAGAGGGAGTACCCAGGCCACCAGGAAGGGCCCCAGGAGGGAGGTTAGGGCGGCAGGCAGCATTGTGTAGGGGATAGTGCTGAGTTCAGCAGCAGCAGCAGCAGCAGCAGCAGGATAATCAGTACCAGATGAGGCAGCCCTGGGTGTGTGGGCGTGGGGACTGGCCAACGGGGCGGGAGGCAGGGGAGGCGGGACAGGGAGACAGCTGGGACAGTGGTGAGTCCCTGCAGGGGCCTCTCTAGGTCTTGGACATATTTATTGATTGACTAAGGATGCTGGGAGCAACAGAGGGCAGAGAGAACATCATCTACACAGATGATGTCATCTGCAGCGCCCCTCTGTCCTGTGCCTGAGAATCTGGTCTTTCCTGTAGACTTTCGGGCGCAGACCAGACCTCTTCACCTGTTGCTTTCTCAGCATCAAGAAAGAATTCCTTCTTGAGTCTCTCGGCCATCCACTCTCCCACTGCATGTTTCTGGATAGCTCCCATTGCTGCTAAGACATCTTGCCATCAAGTCCTGGCTAGCCGGAACTTTTGGTCCTCCTGCCTCAAGAGCTGGGATTCCAGGCCTGCACCCCTTACCTACGGTCTTCTACACAAGCCTACGGCTTTCCTGTTAAGACTGGACCAGATCAGGTGGAGGCAGGAGTGTTCTGACCCCTTATTTTCCCTTCCACTATTTTAAGGTACTGGAGAAGGGCTAAGGAAGGCATGGAGTAGCCCTTCTCCTGGGAGAAGAGGGGAGGGAGCAGAAGGTAAGGGAACAAACAGGAGAGACAGGGAATAGGGTGCTGACTTCAGAGGGCTAGGGTTAGGGGTAAGGTACTTCCAGAAGTAGAGGTAAAGATTAGATTCCGGGGTTGATCCAGGTACGAGGACGGCACACTGTAATCCTAGCACTCTGGATATGGAGTCAGGATGATTAAAGGTCAGCCTGGGCCACACAGCGAGGCTCTGTCACAAACAAAATGAGCAGACTCGAGTTAAGGTTCCAGACCCAGTGGAGGCTCCAAACTGGGAAAATAAGCTTTGTCAACCGAATTATTCCACAAGACTAGGACCAACCCGCACATCAGACAGACAAAGGGAGCCTTCTGGAGTGAGTTGGGGTGTTGGCACCGCTCAGGAAGCCAGCAGCTTGGGCTCTGTCTTTCTTCCCTAACCCGCCAGGGCACCCTCCATCCCTTGTCCCTTGTCTTCCACAAGGCCCCAGGGTTTCAAAACAGGCCTTCCTTTAGCCTTTTATTCTATTGTCCATCAAATTTCTTGTCCATGATAGTCAGGTTGGGGCCCCTCCTGGGCAGCCCCCCCTGAACATGTAAAAAAATTCCTACCCTCCCCTGGCATGTCCAGCACTACTCCCCACAACTCACCCGCCCATCCCGCCCCGCCCCGTGTACACACAACAATCTTGTTTGCACTGCATCTCTCCTTAGCCCCTGGCCCAGGGCCTCATTTCCTTCTGGAGAAAAGGCTGGGAGGCAGGGTCAGCTCTCCGGGGCTGAGGTGCCTGAGCCACCGCCGCTCGGAGTCCTCTGCAGCATGTCCAGGGCCTCCCAGAAGAAATCTCTCTGGGCTGCCATCAACGGCATCCAGCCTACAATCTCCTTCATCTTCGCCATTCGGTCCTGCAACGTGGAGCAACTGTGGATCTGGCTGAGGTACTCCTCACAGGCCTGGGCTGTTCCCCCAGGGTCTTGGGGGGCTCCAGCCACCTTGGTATGTTCAGGGCTTCCCCCCCACCCTGCTGGCCGGCAGGTCTCGATAGACTGGGCATTGTTCGATGTCGTGGCTGGACAGCATATAGAGACACTCTCTGGTGGAGCAGAGGGAGCAGGCACACAAGGGGACCTTAGAGGAGAGAAGGGGGGGGGGCTGAGGGAGGCCTAGCACTGCCAGGGGCTTCCAGGAAGCCAGCTAAGCCTGGTGCTATGTTGTTGATCCCTCTCAGGCAGGCCCTGAACCAGCGAGTGAGCTTCAGCCTGCTATGCTCCAGGACCATGTGAACTGGGAAAGCCAGCAGGGCCAGCAAGGAGAGAGCAGGGAGCAGTGTGTGGGGTAAGGAAAGGAGGCCTCATGGCAAGGGGGAAATGGAGCCCATGGGCCCCTTGCAGGGGTCCCCGGAATAAGCTGGGCATGGTGACACAGGAGAGCCAGGAAAGCTTAGAGTTTAAGGCAGGCCCGGGCTACACCGTGAGTCTAAGAGGGAGTCCAGTGAGATGCCTCATCTTGCTGCCAAGACTGGTGACCAACATCAGGGAAGGAGAGAACGACTTTCACTCTTGTCCTCTGTCACACGCACATTGTGGCACAACCCCTCCCAAATACATTTTTGAACTCTTTGAGAGCAGGGAGGAAAGTCTGGCTATATTCCTGGGTTTCCTGGCTTGACTGCTCTACTCTCCCGTTCATCCTCTGGCCCGACCCTGCTCTGACCTTGATTTGTAGCTTGACGAAGGAGGCGCTCCCCTTGGGCCAGCCAGGAAGGCGGCCTCCAGCCCCACAGCCGCACCCCAGCAGCTCCTTGTTGAAATCCGAGGTCTGACTCAGCACCAGGGAATGGTTGAGGCCACACCACAGGGCAATGGGACGGTGCAGATAAGGAACCTGGGGACAGACAGACAGACGGCGGGGCCACGGCCTTTAAGGTGGGCTCTGGGTTAGAGAAGGGTGACCGGAAGGCTTGGGGCAAAGTGTAGTCTTGGGAGCTGGAGGAAAACAGGGTCCCAGGTCGTCTGCCCTGCTCTGTAATCTGGCAGCTATCTGTCCTTCCTGTGGCCACAAAGCCCCCAAAGACTGCCTGCATGACTTCTGGTACTTGGTAAAAACTTTGTGTCTTGCTCCTCAGGAAATATGCTGGTCCTTAAGGACAAGATCTGATGCCCTCTTCTGGCTTCCCTGGGAACCTGTACACACATTTGTGTGAACACACATGTGCATTCTTGCACATGCAAAACATACATAGTAAAATAAGTAAATAAATAAATCTTTAATAATAATAAAAAAAAAAACAGTAGGTAACAATTGAGAAGTCAGCCAGGCATAGGGAAACAGGAGGATTAAAGTGAGTTCCAGTCCCACCCAAGCTACACACTGAGAGTTTGTCTCAAAAAAAGTTTTTGGCCTGGAGAGATGGCTCAGTGATTAAGAGCACTGACTGCTCTTCCAGAGGTCTGGGGTTCAAATCCCAGCACCCACATGACAGCTCACAACTGTCTGTAACTCCATTTCCAAAGGATCTACATCCTCACGCAGACAGACATGCAGGCAAAACACTATTGAACCTAAAATAAAAATAAATCAATCATTAAAAAACAGTTTTTGTTTGTTTAGCTTTTTTATTACATTTGTTTGTGCGTGGTGCATGTGTGCATAGCACTTATATTTGAATGCTTTAGTCACCAGGGAGGGGAACTGTTTGGGAAGGATTAAAGGGTTAAAAGCTATGGCCTTGCAGGAAGTATGTTGCTGAGGGTGGGCTTTGAGCTTTCAAAAGTCCACGCCAGGCCTATTTTCCCCCTCCCCTCCTTCCCTCTGGTTTTCTCTCCCTCCGCATGCTGCCTGTGGATGAGGACGTAAAGTCCTCAGTGGCTGCCCCAGCATCACAGCTTTCTAGCTCCCCTCATGTCGACCATGGACTGATCCTCCAAAACAAAATGCTTTCCTTTATAAGAGTTGCCTTGCGCCGGGCGGTGGTGGCACATTTTAATCCCAGCACTCAGGAGGCAGAGGCAGGCGGATCTCTATGAGTTTGAGGCCAGCCTGGTCTACATAGCAAGCTCCAGGACAAGCTCTAAAAGCTACAGAGAGACCCTGTCTCAAAAAAACAACCCCCCCAAAAAAAGAAAGAAAGAAGAGTTGCCTTGGTGGTGGTGGTGCACACATTTAATCCCAGCATTTGAGAGAAAGTGGTAGGTAGATCTCTGAGTTCAAAGCCAGCCTTGTCTACAGAGCAAGTTCCAAGACAGCTGGGCTAAATAGAGAAACCCTGTCCTGAAGAAAGAAAGAAAGAAAGTTGCCTTAGTCATGTTGTCTCTTTACAGCAATAGAACAGTAACTAAGACAGGACACATGTAGCCCAGGCTGGCCTAGAACTCACTATGTAGCTGAGGATGGCCTTCAACTCCTGATCCTCCTTTCTCCATACAGCAACTGCTTGGGTTAGAGACATGTACTGCCATGCCTGGTTTTCATAGTGCCAGGCAAGCCTTCTGCCAACTAAACCCTATCCCTGACTCAAGGATATCTCTTTTTACTCCTCTGTGAAAATGATGGCTAGATACTGCCTACATCTGCCACTCTGTCTCAGGTTTGTTTGTTTGCTTGGTCTGTGTGTGTGTGTGTGAGTGTGTATGGGTGTGTGCTCGAGCATGTGTGTGAGTGTGTGTGCGTGTGAGAGCATGCGTGTGTGTGTGTGTGTGAGTGTGTGTATGGGTGTGTGCGCGAGCACGTGAGAGTGTGTGAGTGTGTGTGTGTGTTCTCCAGACAGGGTTTCTGCGTGTCGTCCTGGCTGTCCTGGAACTTGCTCTCTTCTGCCTCCTCTTCCTCTTCTACATTTTTTTCTAGTAGGGATTCAATTTAGAATCTTGTATATGTTAAGCAAGTGCTCCACCACTGGAATATATGTAGTCCATCTGGCCAGTCTTTTTTTATTTTGTTTTGGTTTTTTGTGTTTTTTCGAGACAGGATTTCTCTGTATTGTTTTGGAGGCTGTCCTGGAACTCACTTTGTAGACTAGGCTGGCCTCGAACTCACAGAGATCGCCCTGCCTCTGCCTCTCGAGTGCAGGGATTAAAGGCGTGCGCCACCAACACCCAGCTAGTCTTATTTTTTCTTTTTCTTTTTTAAATAATTTAACTTTATTTTATGTGCAGTGGTGTGAAGGTGTCAGATCCCCAGGACCTGGAGTTACAGACAGTTGTGAGCTGCCATGTGGGTGCTGTGACTTGAACCCAGGCCCTCTGGAAGAGCGGCCACCTCTCCAGCCCCCGGCCAGTCTTTCTACTGTCTTGTGTGTAAGTGTCATGACCGCCCTTGTCGTCATTACACCCAATGCCATTCTCCACCCTCACCTGAATTCCCTCAAACCCACAGGACCTGCTACCATCTTACCTTTTAAAAATAAGTGTGC